CCCCCCCCCGCCCCCTTGGCCAGCGTGACGGTGACACGCCGCCCACGCGCCCACCGGTGGCCGCCACGGCCGGACCGCTGGACCTGCCCGCTGGACCTGCCCGCTGGACCGACCTGCATGGCCAGGCAGATGGTGTTGAGCAGGATGAGGACGAACATCAGGTACTCGAAGTAGGTGGAGTTGACCACATACCACACCTTGTACTGGTGCTGGTTCTTGGGGATGTACCTCCGCAGGGGCCGGGCCTTCAGGGCGTACTCCACGCACTGCCGCTGCGCCGGGGACACGGGGGTGAGAAACCCGGATGACGGGGGACGGCGGGGACATGGGTGGCCTCAATGTCTCACCTCCAGAGGAAGAGACGGCCTAACCCAGCGGTTCCCAACCTGTTTGGCATCAGGGGCTGGTGGGGTGGAAGACAATTTTTCCACGGACGGGCGTGGGGGATGGCTCAGGCAGTAGTGCGAGCGACGGGGAGCGACGGGGAGAGAGATAGGGAGCGATGGGGGGGGACGGGGGGGGGGGGGGTGCACAGGAAGCTGCACACCCCAGGGGTGGGGTTCTCTGGGAGAGAGAGACATCATCTATTGCTCTAGCTCGCTTACAGGCCGAGCTGCTACTTGGACGTTTTTTGATTTTCTATCCCTCCCTCAACGGGGGAGAGACCCTCTCTAGTTAGTCCCCATCAGGACGTAGTCAGGGGGTCCATGTCCCCTTCCTTCCGTCTCGGTGATGCCTGCTGACACCGCGGGTGCTCGGTGGCATCTGGTAAATACTTGCTGACTGATTGATAGTCTGTCCTCTCACTGATGGTTTCCCAGCCACAGACTCTCCTGGGGGCCCGTCTCTCCTCAGTGTTCCTCACCTGTCCTAAGTCCATCTTCCTTATCTGCCAGGGTCCGCAGACTAGAAGTCACAGCTCACGGCCAGGGGATGGGATCCTGCGCTGACTACACTCCGGCCATCTCTGCGCTGTGCCCGGAGCCCAGGTCAGGACCAGGGTCCCCCAGGCCCTTCTCTCACCCCAGCCTCCAAGCCCGACCAGCGCTGTTCTCTCCACCTCTACTGTCACTTCTCGCCTACACTTGCTAATTGGCCTCCCTCTCTCCTGGCTTCCTTACAGTCCAAAGTCCACACAGTGGCCAGAATGCTGAGTCTAGGCCCAAGGTGTGGACATCGGAGCTGCAAGGGGTGCAGCGGGCCTGACGGGGGGTGCTCCTTACCTAGCAGGGCTTGAGTCCCCCACGGACAGGACGCATTTCCCGTGGACGCTTCCCGGCCTCCTGACCGCACACCCAGCCTGCCCTGCCGGCCACGGAGCTCAGCCCAGGGCTGGCGTGGCCGCGTCCCTCCTGCTGGAGCCCTTCCCCACCTCTGTGTGCACAGCCTCTCTCTGTTCTACAAGAAACCATCTAACAGTGGTTTCTAAGCCGTCCTCTCCCCACCCCAAACCTCCACTCTCACTGTTCTGGTTTCTTTCCTCTCTATCAACGGTGCCGCCCCACCCTGCACACCTCCTGACTCATCGGCTTCTAGGTGCGGGTGAGAGGCTCTTTCACAGAACCCCCCAGACCCGCCACCGAGTCTCCCTGAGGAGCTGTTAACAGACCCTGTTGGTTGAGCGCGGCTGCAAGCTGGATCTGCAGGGTCTGCGTCCCTTCTGCCCTTGGGCCTCCAGGAGACACTGGGCAGGGGGCCTGGGGCTCTCTCCGGACCACAGCCTCCCCCGGGGGCCCAAGCTGCAGCCCCCCACTCCTGGCTCCTGGTCCCCGGGGGCCCAAGCTGCAGCCTCGCCCCCGGCGGCACCTGGTTCTTGTCCAGCTCGCAGTTCTTGTACTCCTGCTCCCCCTGCTCCTGGAAGGTGACGATGACGAAGCCCACAAAGATGTTCATCATGAAAAAGGCGATGATGATGATGTAGATGATGAAGAAGACGGAGATCTCCACGCGGTAGTTGTAAATGGGGCCCTTGTCCTCCGTGTGGGAGTCGATGGAGCGGTACAGCAGCCTGGGGGGGACAGCCCGCGGAGGGCGGTGGCGATGACACCGCTGCTCCGAGCGCCCCGGGGCCGGGGAGCCGGAGACAGCTCCAGGCTGAGAGTCGGGAGGCCTGCGTTCAAGCCCCAGCTCTGCCTCTTACTGGCTGTGTGACTTGGGCAAACCACTCAACCTCTCTGAGCCTCAGATTCCTTACCTGCAAAGTGGAGACAATAATTCCGGACTTTCCTACCGGGCCGGGTAGTTGATCTAACGTATGTGAAGGTGTTTTGAAACTGGCAGGAACTGTCTAAGTGTGACACGAGTCACGGCCATTGATTTCTAATGCTGGAGATATTGGTAAATATTGAAACCGCTCTGCTGCTTCTCTGGCAGAGACTCGGCCCCAGGCTCACTCAGCTCCTCAGCAGCGGTCTGGTTTACACTCAGGTGGCCTGTGTCTGCGCCCACCTGGGCCGCGGCTACGCGCCCGTCAGGCTGCTTCTCTTCGCGTCGGGCTTCCTTCCTTTCCCGCCTCTGCTGCTCCACACAGCGCCTGGCTGTTCTCCAGGCGGTACTGATATGTTACCACTTAATAATGGTGCCTCTCACCTAAGATCACGTGCTGTCGTTGACTTAGAAATATCTAGAATTTCCTGACTTTCAGATGATCATGTCACCAGAATACACATGGGGGCGTGAGGGAAGCAGGTGTCTGTACAGAGATACACGGAGCCCCTCCTGGACAGGCCTGGTAGAGGGGATGCAGCTTATGGGCCACCAGGCTGGTCCAGGCCTGGCAGCACTGCCTCTGCAGGAGCTTTCCTCTGTAAATCAGACACAGCTCCCTCCAAGGAGACTGGGGCAGAGTCTAACCAGCGGGCGCCTCCGCCATCTCTACCCACGTCCGTGCCCACCGGGAGTGGTGGCCTTCAATGTTACGGTGACCCAGGGGCCCCTCCACTCCCAGATGCCATGAGGGTGACGACAGACTTCACTGCGGCTCAGTCTAGGTTGGGGAGGGCAGCTAAAAGAAGCTTGTTTTGGGCTGAAGCTCTGAGATCCAGAAGAGC